AAAAAAGAAGAAAAAATTATGTAATGTCATGGAAAATGTGAATGTTTTAATCAAAGAAAAAATATGGATAGCATTTTGTCAGGACTGTCACACCTTCAAACACTAATATTATTGAAGATCTTATAAATAACTATCTCCATATTACAATTTATAATATTCAGCAAATGGTTTCCATCCCAACTGAAAGCATTGAAACCATCTTACATGAAGAAATTTCTGTCAGGAAGGTGTGTGCAAAATGGGTTCCTTACGCTCTTACTAATGAAAACAAGCAAAAACAATTTAAGGTTTCAAAGCAATTGTTTGGGTACCTTGAAAATGGGTTTCGAAATATTATTACTGGGGATGAAACATGGCTTCATTTCTTTACAGTCTCATCTAAAGATGCCAATGAGGTTTGGCTAAGCAAAGTAGAAAGCTGGCCACAAATTATAAGAATAGCTCAAAATAGGAAAAAACAAATTTTTTGCATTTTCTTTTCAGCTGATGGGGTTGTGGCAAGCATTGTGGTGGAGAAAGGACATACAGTTACTAGTAATTACTAATCTCTTGTGCATACATCAATCTTTTCAATCAAGAAAAAATAATTTTCATTAATCATAAGAAGCACCTTGTTTTTTCATTTCATTCTTCCCAAATAATCCTGTTTAATGAAAGTTGAGTTTTCTTGGCTCTGTATGTTCGTTCTGAATATGAGCGCGATAATGATAATGAGTAATTTCTATAAAACATTTTATTTCCGTGCTGTTTTATTGACAAACGTAAATCACTCTTTAAACGAAACAAGTGGTGCTACGAGTCATTTTTTGTTTTAAAAAAATTTGAACTACACGTCCAAATCTGGTGATGATTTTTCTTTTAATCGGTCAACTTTTTTTTAACATTGAATTTTTTGTTCAGTTGCACAATATTAGATATTTTAGATTAAAATGTTCGTGATAAATTTGCTTATTTAAGTAAGATCTGAGGTTGGCGTCAAATCGTGATTGTTTAATTTGGTTGTTATGCTGATATGAACGTGTCTTCTAAACTTAAATTCTTAATCGAGTAAAATTGATCGTGAAAATTGTTTATATATAATTTTTGGGGGCACTTTTCTTATGTGTCTGTCTATCTTTGATTTGGGGTTATTTACAAAATAAATTTTAACTTTTTTTTTTTAAAAAAAAAAAAACAATAATTTCTCAAATAATATTCTTTTAAAAGTATTAATTAATTACCATTAAAAATGACAGCAAATAGACCTGCCACTGCTGCCACTCCTGGCGTTGCTTCTGGAACGGGTAGAACTGCTACTGCTGGTACTGTTGGCGCTGCTAGAACGGCTAGACTTACCACTACTGCTACTGCTGGTGCTGCTAGAACGACTAGACCTACAATTACTGCTACTGCTGGTGCTGCTAGAACGGCTAGACCTACAATTACTGCTACTGCTGGTACTGTTGGTGCTGTTAGAACGGCTAGAACTGCAACTACCGCTATTGTCGGTCTTCTTGGTGTTGCTAGAACGGCTAGACTTACCACTAATACTACTGCTACGGCTGGTACTGCTAGAACTGCTAGAACTATAACTACTCCTGCTGGTGTTACTAGACGTCGCATTCTTAAGAAAAGAACAAACACAGAAAAAAACAGAGCTAAAAAAAGAAGGAGGAAATTGAGAAAACTAAGACAACCTCGAGTAGCACCATCAACAAAAAGAGTCAAAATTGATGATGAATTTAACGAGGATGTATTCAAATACATTAGTCCGATTTCACTCATCGAATCAATTGATTTGAAACTCAAGCCTGAAAGATATCCAAGATTCATGTTTAAAAATCAGAAAAAAGCAAATACTTGGTCTTGTCAACTTAAATTTCTCAAGAAAAAATGGGTATCTGATAATAAACCAGGCAAACAACCGGCGAAAATCGATGTTTGTAAAAAGGCAATAATGGAACTATATAAAGATACGCCAGAGCTTTGTGTTGATGTCAGAAATGAGATGCTTAAATTGAATGATCGAGAAACAGATACTATGGTCACCTTATTTAAAAATAGTCAATAATTAAACACCTTTAATAATACTATTTGATATATATATATTTAGAAGAAGTGAGAAAACACTATTAAAAAACATATAATTTTAAATATTTGCTATAATAAATGAATTTGATCGTGTATAGTTACTTTCTTCATGTATTGCTTTTTTTTTAAAAAAAATAAAAATCATTTTTAAACTTTTAATATCACGTGGTTTTTTGTTGAATCATCAAACTGGCCAATAATAACGCAAGAATATAAGGGATAAAATCAAGATTTACCATTTATTTTTCCAATTATCTATCCAATAATGGCAACCATGTTTTCAGGAAATGCGAATGAGTTTAGTGTTAGTGGTCATTCAAGTAGTGGACAGGTACTATTTTTTGTTATTGATATTATTAATTAGATAGCTTTAACTATTCATTTTCATTAACAAAAATGCAAAGTCTTGTTAAAGAACATAGAATATTTTGTAGAAAATTTTCATAGTTTGATTCATCAAAGAACATCAGGAAAAAACTTTAATCCAGAAGGATTAAGAGATTATGCTATTAATGTAGACAATAACAGACATGATTCTGAATTTATAAAACCATTTTTATTAACAAAAAAATATCCATATACAAAAAAAAATTGATACAATGACAAAAAAATCTGCATTATTTTTCTTGGATTTTTTCAAAAAATTTGGGCAAATTCAGATAACATTAATTCTCCATCAAGTGAGCAGAAGAATTATTTATTATCTACTTTTAATATTGAGGTTCAAATGAAAGCATTACCATCAGGATATATATCATACCCAATATTAGGATCTTTTGTGATTATGAACATTGCAATATTAAACAAAATGAAAATCAAAGTAATGATTGCGTATTGATATGTGGTCATGCATATCATTATGAATGTTTTCAAAAATTGGATTTTAGATGTCAATATTGTCTTGAATATTTTATAAATGGATTACAAAATTTAAGCAATTCATATAATGAAAGATTAAAAAATACAAGTGTATCAATACTTGAAGATAATTTAAATGTATAAGTAAATGAAAATGAAGTAGATGATGTTTCTTTTAATGATTTTGGTAATGACTGAATATTGATAGAAGTTTAGATCAAAAATTAAATATGGCAATATACAATTTTCATCATTTTTAGTTAATAAAAATTATATTTATTTGTTTTAGCCAATCAAAAATAATTAATTTTGCGTTACATTAAGTGATAAAATTGTTTTGTTGATTGTGACAACAAAGAAAATGTCCACCATGCTAGAGTACAATGTATTTAAAGTATTTCTTTGGGACATAAATGAATTATGGCTAACAACTCATTGTTCTTAGATTATTACTCAAATTGAAAAATATCCTAAGTTGCAATGGAAGAGACGTCAAAAAATGATATAGATGTTATAGAAATAGGTTTGCCACCCATTAAAGTTAACAAAAGTGAGAAGGTTTCTAAAACTATTCGCAACATTTTCCAAGCCGAGAGAATTGGCGATAAATTGCTCATTAAAGTATGTGTCATTTTATCTTGCAACTACATGATATTCATTTTCTGATCTTTGTATTACTCAACTTGATGGTGGAATGAAGAAAGTACGAATATGGTATCCATAATTAATGGTGATGAATTTCGACTCGTGTGGGAAGATGGAATTCACGACCGACGCACCAGAAAAGATCATTCATTCATTCCCGCCACCTTTATTATGATTAAAGACACCTGCCGTAATTGGTTATTTGCGGTAATGGTAGCTACCATTATAAAATAATTACGGCTGCCGCAGATACATAATTAATTGCAAATTTTATTTTTCACGAACGACTGACCAATTAAATTCATCAATTATATTTCTCACGAAAATATGACAAATAGCATCAATGACATTAATCTTGAAAACAACTCCTTTCCTCCTGATGAGAATGAAGATAGCTCTTTTCCTTCTAACCAAATCAACATAGTTCTTTCCCTTCAAGTTCATCTAATAAAAAGGCATTAAATAAAAGAAAAGTAGACAATTTTCTTATTTCTGGAACTACTTCAAAATTGGAGAAGTGACAGACAGGTCATGGTCATTACAAATCAACATGTAATTTTTGCAAAAGAGTTTGGAATCGTGGAAAACCCAAAGAATGACTGCTCGTCTATCTAATAATTGTCTACAAGTTCTTCATGACATTCATAACATAGTTTTAAATGTTTTTTTTTAAAAGAATATGGATCTTCACCTCTTGATGAAAGTAGCGATGATTATGACAATGACAATAATGGAATTCAGGTTACTAAAAGACCAAGATCAGTAGCTGACAGCACATTGCATGATTTTTATGATAAAATTAATTTACCATTAGGCAAAAAAGAAATTGATCGTTCTCTTTTAAGGGCATTTGTAATATGACATTCCTTTTTCAGCGATTAAAAATCCATATTTTAGAGTTGTTAAATCAGCTTAATGGTGAACATCAACCTTCTTCATTTGATGTTTCATCTGCAAATCTCTTAGATATTGAAGTCGCCAGTATTAATTTAAAGATTGAAAAATTACATGCATTAAGTAAGTGTCATAAATTTTTTTTAATTTTTTTTAATTTTTATTTAATTATCTAATTATCTCACAATTAATTTATCATCATAGGCCTTGACGTGTGAGGTAGCCCCAATGGTCTGTCCATTTGGAATTTTGTCGTTACAACTTCTGATAAAAAAGAGTATTTGTATAAGTTAGAAGATTTGTCTTCCGAAAGACATACAGCAGAAATTATCACAGAAAAGATTGAAAATGTGATGATCAAGATTGGACCACAAAGAATTGTTGCACTTTTATCAGATTCAGGTGCCAGTGTTAGTTTGGCAAGAACAATAGCCAAGAATAAATATAAATATATATTAATTTGAGATGTATAAATCACTGTTTTAATCTAATTACAAAAGATGTAATTAAACATGGATTTGTGGAGTGGCTAACTAGAAGAGCAAGCATTGTTGTTAAGTTTTTTAAAAGTCTTACATAGCAATAATCACTTGAACCAACTCATTAAAGAAAAAAGCAATACAAAATGGTGATTCGAAATAATATGTGCCCGCAAGATGGGTTACTACACATGATTTCTACATAAGACTACAGCCATGTTTACAAGAAGTAAAATAATATTTCATATGTTGTATAATTTTTTTTAATTGACATTTTTTTATTTCTAATTTTTTTAATAAATATAATAAATGTATAACCCATTCCAATCTTGATATTATTTCAAATGATGCTGTAAAAAATATCCTTTGACGAAGAGGTTTTTTCGAAGATACAAATGCTTTAGCTAGAACGTTAAAACCAATCTGAACAGCCATTCAAGAATTAGAAAGCTTGTGTGTTTCTCTTACTGATTGTATATTAGCCTTGTAAAAAATTGCTGCTGCATTCAAATAATTAACATCTGATGATTGATTATAAAGGATTTCAAATCATTGCATAGTAATAGTAATAGGAGATGTTCCGTTGTGATTTCCTAAAAGGCTGATGATCAGCTTAAAAATTTTCGTGATACAGAAAATTTTTCCAATACATATGTAAACTCGATAAGTCGGTCACTCGATAAGTCGGTTTTAGCCTAACTCGGCCAAAAATTTTCGCCCCGTTTTTTTACTATTTAAAAAAATTCGATAAGTCGGTCAATCTATATAAAGTCACGATAAGCGCTAAGTCAGTCAATCACTTAGCCCAAGTATAATTAAATGAATCACGATAAGTCGGTCTCACGTGATATCTCATTATGTAAAGGGT